ACCCCCCCCACCCCCCCCCCCCCCCCCCCCCATGGGGCAGGTGCTCAGGCTGGGTAGGACAGCCCTGACCAAGGGCCACAGATTCCAAGACCAGAGGGACCGCTGCGACCCAATAGTCAGACATCCTGCCAGCCAGAGCCCTGCGCCACGGAACGGGCAGGGTTTCATCCATTTCTCACGCAGCATGTTAATGTTCTATCATTCCCCTTCGTAATCCAAGTGTTCGGTACCAAGCCAAACACCTGACAGAAAACTCTGACTTCAGATAGACCAGCTTACCACCCGAAGGCCCCGTCCCACCCTCAAAGAGAGCCAGGTAGTTTGGCAGAATCTCTTTTCTACACACCCATGTTAATTTGAATTAATTATATTATCCTTATTAAACGAGTCCTGCATCGGTCACTCCATTATCCAGTCTGGGATGGGTGTCAGGCCGACAGTTACTTGATCACTCCAGCCACTCTTTTAAAAGGTGGCACAACATTCTCTCTCTTCCAGTCATCTGAAACTGCCGCAGTGCGCCAAGACTTAGTGAAACGCAACAAACTCCCCCGGCAGCTCTTTTCAAACTCTTGGGGGCAAATTATCTGACCTGCTGATTTAAAATGGTCCTAACTCGAGTAATTTTTGTTCAACATCCTCTAGAGATACTAGAGCTGTGCACAGAGACTACCTCATCTGCTTTCCCCCCAAATACAGAACAGAAAAATTTATTGAGCACTTCTGCCTTTTCTGCATTATTATGGATAACCATACCGTTTCCATATAGCTATGGGCAAAGACCATTGTCAGGATCTTTTTTGTTCCTAATATATTTTAAAAACCACTTCTTACTGTCCTTGGCTCATAACTGTGTTTCAGCTTTGTGGTATAGACACAGCTGAAACACAGTTATGAGCCAATTCAGCTGGGAATAATAATTCAATCAGCAAAATGTGAATGATAAGATTTTATAAGATACCTCAAAAGCCAGAATCAAGGCCATACTGATTTAAAAAAACCAACCTAATGTACAGCAAAGTGAAGGCAGCTGTAAAAAAATAAAACATTTATAAAATGTCATAAAAGTAAAAATGATAGTGATGAATACAAATCAGAAGTTAGGAACTGTAGAACATTGATAAGGGAAGCAAAGGGATGTGTGGCAAATTCTATGGTTCAGAGTTAAGGACAGTAAGAAGTGGTTTTTAAAATATATTAGGAACAAAAAAGATCCTGACAATGGTATTTGCCCATAGCGGCTGTTCCCAGGCCTGTGGGAATTCAGCTCGCCTGGCTGGAGGGCACTTCAGGTGCCTCCTGGTAGGGGTGTCCTGGCATAGGGCAGGGTGAGTGGCAACCCTGAGGAAGTGGAGGAAGGCCCCAGCCCTGGGCCGCAGGCTGCTGCTGGATGTCCCAGTGGAGACCCAGCTGCCTGCAGCGGAGTCCGGTCACTGCATTATGGCCGCATGCTGGGCACAGCATCCATCCCGGTGCCACTCACCCCAGTCCTGCCGGGAATCAGGGAGGGGAGGAGACTCTGTGCCATGGACGAACCCCCCTCTGGAGTCTGGTTCGGCCGCCCGCTGGAAGGCGCCTCCGCCTTGATGGGAGGAGTCACGGCCCCAGATCCCCGATTGAACCCGTGTTAGTCGGATCCAGTCACTGGTCATCTCGGCTGCCAGTAAGGACCCTGGGGCAGCCACTGCCCTCACCCTGCCACCAGGCCCCCGCAGGGGCACCGCCAGGGAGTGCAGTGGTGGAGTAAGCAGCACATACGGCCCAGGAAACACTGCAGCTCCCTGGCTGGCCAAGTGACCCTTCCTAGCCAGGGGTTGCCCCACGCAGACAGAGCCTTGGCCTGTGTCACAGGGCAGTTCCCTTGTCCGGGGGCACTGTTGAGCCCCTGGGCCTCCTGGCCATATATTCTGCAACCCAGACACGGCTTACACCAGGGTCCCTCTTCCCCGGGGCAGTGCAGCCTAGCAGCCAGAGTCTCTAGTAACACCACTTCCCCGGGGCAGTGCAGCCTAGCAGCCAGAGTCTCTAGTAACACCACTTCCCCGGGGCAGTGCAGCCTAGCAGCCAGAGTCTCTAGTAACACCACTTCCCCGGGGCAGTGCAGCCTAGCAGCCAGAGTCTCTAGTAACACCACTTCCCCGGGGCAGTGCAGCCTAGCAGCCAGAGTCTCTAGTAACACCACTTCCCCGGGGCAGTGCAGCCTAGCAGCCAGAGTCTCTAGTAACACCACTTCCCCGGGGCAGTGCAGCCTAGCAGCCAGAGTCTCTAGTAACACCACTTCCCCGGGGCAGTGCAGCCTAGCAGCCAGAGTCTCTAGTAACACCACTTCCCCGGGGCAGTGCAGCCTAGCAGCCAGAGTCTCTAGTAACACCACTTCCCCGGGGCAGTGCAGCCTAGCAGCCAGAGTCTCTAGTAACACCACTTCCCCGGGGCAGTGCAGCCTAGCAGCCAGAGTCTCTAGTAACACCACTTCCCCGGGGCAGTGCAGCCTAGCAGCCAGAGTCTCTAGTAACACCACTTCCCCGGGGCAGTGCAGCCTAGCAGCCAGAGTCTCTAGTAACACCACTTCCCCGGGGCAGTGCAGCCTAGCAGCCAGAGTCTCTAGTAACACCACTTCCCCGGGGCAGTGCAGCCTAGCAGCCAGAGTCTCTAGTAACACCACTTCCCCGGGGCAGTGCAGCCTAGCAGTTGGAGTATCTAGCAATGCAACTGCTGGGGCTCTTGTACATTTCCAAGGAGGAATGCGGGACTCTGTGTACGGCCGGGGGCCAGCAGGAAGTCCTGTCTCCAAAGAGTCCCCAGCAGGGGCTCTTGTGCATTTCAAAGCCAGGTAGCCCTGGGTCAGCTGGGGACTCCGCAGCTGATCCCGGGCTCCCCGCGGCATGCAGCATAGCATGGAGGCCGGGGTCAGCAGGGGACTCTGAGTACACCCTGTCCCAGCCAGTTACTGTGTTACTTGGCTTTGTATGGTTCCAGCCTGACATTGACCTGCCTCTCGATCCTAAACAGGGAACGCCCCGGCCTCTCATCCTGGCCGGACCCTGGCCTTGTGATCCCTTAACTCCTGCCCCTGGCGTGCAGACCTGGGACCCACTACTGACCCCCGCCCCAGAGGCTGGGAATGATGCGTCTTGCCTGACCAGGGCTGGAGAGTTGCTCGGGACGAGTCCACTCTGACCCGTTTCAGGGCTGTGACTTTCCGGCTTGGGGGTGTGAAAACCCTGCCAGTGGGAACCAGGCTACAGCCTCGCCCCAGGCTGTTAGTACCCCCTGGCCAAGGTGCTTTGCACGGCACACGAGCGGAGCTCTCTCCCAGCGCCTGTGCCGTGACCACGCTCTCCCTAACCCGGGCCGCACTTTAAACTGATCCGGGTAGACAAAGGCTTGGTGCGGAATTCTGCAGTGTGTGTCCCTCATGTGCGCAAGGAGAGTAGCTCCCAGCCTGCGCACCCCACGCAATCCCTGTGCTTGCATGTCCCTGCAGCCAGAGCACGTGCCCAGACGCCAAGGAGAGGGCCGTGCGCCCATGGTCAGCCCACCAGTCCTCCCCCCGCCGTTCCAGGTGTTGCTCTGGAGGTGAAGGGTGGGGGCTGCCGGGCAGGGGCTACTGACACAGCAGCCCCCTCCCCGGCCTCCTGTTCCCAGCCAGCGAATGCTCCAAGTGACCCTGGGGAGGGAAGGACACGGCCCACGTTGGCTGACGGATCCCCACGGTGCACCTGGGGCATTCTCACTGTATCTCTATCACTGCATCACCCAGGAACTTCCACCAACCGGCCCCCAGGAAATGGAGATTACTCGGGGAACTCCCCACAAGTCAGTTTCGTTTCTAAGGTGAGACGTGGGAAAACCAAAACCACTGCTAAAGAAAGGGCTCGCGGGGGCATCAA